CTAAACCCTAAACCCTAACCCCTACCCCCTAAACCCTAAACCCTAAACCCTAAACCCCTAAACCCCTAAACCCCTAAACCCCTAAACCCCAAACCCAAGCCATGTTCCGTGGCGCCTGGCGCCTCGACTCGCTGGCGCAAGCACTGCGGCTTCATGAGGAGCCTCGAGCTTCGAGATGAGGTTTGTTGTTCCCTCAAGGCTTCCTTTAGGAGTTCCTTGTAGGGTTTCGTTGAGGGTTCCTTCAAGGCTTTCTTGAAGGGTTCCTTGTAGGCTTCCGTGTAGGGTTCCTTTAAGTGTTCTACGGAGGGGGGTTCAGGGGCTGGCTTTCCTCTTGAGTCACGGAACATGCCGGTCCCCCGTAGGCCCTGAGGCCCATACAGTTCAGATGTCGAGCTGGGCAGGACGTCCTCCGCGGCAGTTTTCGATGCACGTACGATGAGGCGAAGCCGGGGAGTCAGAACGTTTTGCCTGTGGCTTGCACGGCTTTATCCCAAAGCCAAGAGCGGAAGCCTCTGTTTTGAACTTTCCTGGCTTGCATGGAATAGTTTTTGTATGCTAGCCGCAACCACTCACCGAGTGGCTGTTTCAGATGTCTAAGAAGCATGCTTCCCAAGACTTCAGTCGTTAGAGCTCATCGCCGAAGCCACGAGGCCCTACACTTCCCAACTCCCTCCAGCCCTAAACCCTACGCTTCGAGCAACTCGTACCCGAAGATGCTCGTAATTTCCTCTTCATGTAGTTAAAAGCCGTATGTTTCCGAACTTTGTGGCTCGGGATTGACCGCTTGGGGTTTCGTCCCGCGCCAGGCCACCAGTCTGAGCCTATGGCTAAACTGCATGAAACCGTCGATGCGGAAATCATGCGCTGGAGTCTCACATGGGTAGTTGTCAAAATTATGGTCCCTTTTAGGGTACCCTAAATAATAGGTGCCGTATTATAATAAGGACCCAAGAAGGGACCATAATTTTGACAACTACCCACATCCGAAGATGCACGTCTCTGCCC